ATTCTCTAAAAATTCACATCAAATCACAACACCTCTGAATTGTTTTTTGCCAGACTTGAAGATATATTTGACATTCTGATCACACATTGCAAAATGTATTTTTGAAAAACAAATACAGCAGACTCAGGAATATAACAGTGTTTAAAATAATAAGTCAATAAAAAGTGAAATCAATTTTGAATATTACAATCGAAGAGAATTATGGGTAATTTGAATGAGTAACAAATTTGAATAATAAGTCAATAAAAAGTGAAATCAATTTTGAATATTACAATCAAAGAGAATTATGGGTAATTTGAATGAGTAACAAATTTGAATAATAAGTCAATAAAAAGTGAAATCAATTTTGAATATTACAGTCAAAGAGAATTATGGGTAATTTGAATGAGTAACAAATTTGAATAATAAGTCAATAAAAAGTGAAATAAATTTTGAATATTACAATCAAAGAGAATTATGGGTAATTTGAATGAGTAACAAATTTGAATAATAAGTCAATAAAAAGTGAAATCAATTTTGAATATTACAATCGAAGAGAATTATGGGTAATTTGAATGAGTAACAAATTTGAATAATAAGTCAATAAAAAGTGAAATCAATTTTGAATATTACAATCAAAGAGAATTATGGGTAATTTGAATGAGTAACAAATTTGAATAATAAGTCAATAAAAAGTGAAATCAATTTTGAATATTACAATCGAAGAGAATTATGGGTAATTTGAATGAGTAAAAAATTTGAATAATAAGTCAATAAAAAGTGAAATCAATTTTGAATATTACAATCAAAGAGAATTATGGGTAATTTGAATGAGTAACAAATTTGAATAAACGGCAAATTCATCAATGCCTTATAAGAATGACAAATCACAATGTGATATAGCCACTGTATGTTGACATTAACAAATGGGGTTGACAAGATGAAAATTTATCCAGGGGATACCCGAGATCTTGTTCCGGGATTGTAGAAATGCTTGGTTTGGTACATTTTAACAACTTTAATATAAACGTTCGACACAGGTAGTTAGCAGTTAAAAGTATATATACTTACCAGTTTGTTTCCATGGCAACTGTATCACAGTATAATTGTTGTTATCTTCTGTTGACATGGTAACATTAAACATTCTGACAGCCATTCTAAGATCTGCATTCTCTTTTTGCAACTGTTTTAACGTAACATGTTGCGGCAAAACTGTTTTGAGAACTAGAAAATTGGATGGCACGCAGTCTTTAAATTTGCATTTGATTTGTCTGAAATACAAATAATTAACATGTATAAATTCCTCATACAGATGATCAATTGATGAGCCAACTCAACCCCCCCCCCCACAACTGCCTTGTTGAGTTGAGCCAGACGTGGTGGTGGTCAAGTGGTGAAAAGGGTAATATTATGAATATTTTATCTCACTTACTAATCAGTGCCACACTCCTATCTTTTACACCAACTGATAACGCAGACTATGTTGAATACTACTGTTTGCACACTTACTTTGTCTGGTTTCCGTCGATATAAAGTCCATCTTCTGAATGCTCCTTAGTTTTGTTTCCCTGCTTTTCATACTCCGATTTAAATCTTTTTAAATCTAGTAAAAGTTTTGGGTCGCTCCCATTCACCCATGTGTACACTACATCTATTGGAACTGGTAAACACATTCTGAAATCAACAATATGTACAATGTATAAGGTTGGTTAGGCCACTTCCTTTCAATGTGTTTTATATCGTGTATTTAACTCATGTTATTCAGAGTGTGACACAGATGGTGTAGTGATGGCAAGTAATGTGATACATCTTTGATGAATTGTATATACCATATTTACACTGTCAGAAGCTTGTATCAAATAAAAGCACATATAAACCTAAAAAAATTTGAATTATACTGAATTATAAAAATATGGCTTATTTTTAATTTGTATGTGTTCTACCAAATGTTCATATAATGAATCAAGTATGTGCCATCTATATAAAGTGGTTATTTGTTTAACCAAATGTTCATCTAATGATTC